GACACCAACCTGTACTTTCCAGACACTAGTATACACATATATACACACTCACTTCCCACTGCATTGTACAGACACCAATGCTACCACAGCAAGGGGATTGTGTTGTCTGAGTTTGGACAATTCCGAACACATGATGGTGCCACCAAACACCACCAATGTTATAAATTGTGATAGCTATAAACCTGTGAAGAAAGCCAATTTTATAAGAGAGGCATGTAGTTAATAGTGAGGTTATCCTACCAGTGGTGCAAAGAACAGAGATAAAATGTTATTCATTTATCAGTCAATGCAGACGTAATTAATCCATCTAGACTGATGAACAAATGTTCTATGTGTAATAAGTTTAACACGTCTTTCTCCTCAAAGCCAGTGATTTGCCCCATTAAGCCGGTAAGGGGAACAGGTTAGCATCTAAGCAATGCTGCCACACATGCATGATAATCTAGGCTAAATCTAGAAACATGTGGACTCCATTTCCTGCTAATGCAAAACACTAAACTGCATAGCAGCAAACATAATCTGTCTGATATTTACAAGCTCCTACCTTCTTTAATACCACTCCAACCCAAGTGGCACTTTATACCCAAATTAGGATTCAAATGTTTCTGGGGAAAGGCAGCCACTTGTTATGTTGGTAAGTCGGCTATGCAGGAAGTGGCTCCACAAACTAATAGACATAGAAGCAAAAACCTGCTCCTCCTGCTAGTCTCCACAAATTAATAAGGTAGGGTGCATTCAACATTCAATTACCTATCCTAAATTTGAATGGAAAAATATACTGATATTTTGCTCTTAATAATAACAGTATCACTGTACAAGTAGTCTGCAATTTGCAACATATTGAAAGAAAATCAACTAGTGTGTTGCACTGTGTACCAAAATATACGACACACACACACACACACACAATATAATTAACTATTAACTTAACATAATAAACTGTCAAAAGGCTGACCTGTCAAAAAGCAGAACACACCTCTGAATCATTATCCCAAGAGAACCTATTGCGACAGTAGTGCGAGAGTTCATAATGTATTGTAGGAGACTGTATCAAGGTGCACCTCAATATAAGTTATTTAATCACAAATTATTTATTTCTGTCACACCTCTAATTTACATCACATTTAAAGTCTTCACAAATCATATTTCATAATTTAAAGCAAAAGACGGACATACTGTATACAGTTAGAAAATATAAATTTGTCAGCAGTTTTATATTTTGTGATATTCATTTTATGATAACATACTCTCTACACCAATTATTTTATTGACAGAAGTCACACTGCGCTTATTATTCCCTGTTTACATGACAGTCATATTCTTAAAAGCCTCAAAATAAGAGCCAGACATAATTGCACTGGGCAGCAGAGAGTATGTATATTATTAGTTATCCTCTGAAACCTGAAGACATGCAATCTGCAGATATACAGTTATTTCCTTACTGTAAGATCAGGAGGTGTGTTCACGTCAAAAGACTTTGGCTATCATTTGCTTCCAAGATATGTACTTACTGGCACACACTGTGAAATAACCTGAAAGACACTGTCAGCTATCAGCGCTGGCTGCAGAAGGCCACACCTAGACACTCCTAGGCGGGGGGAGTAACAAAAATGTTACTGATGCTACCTCTCAATGAGATCACCTGATTAAATAAAGGTTGTATATAAACGAGAGAACATCTTGTGGCAGAATGGTGTTCATCCCTCCAATAGAGTACTGAAGCCCCTCTGGAGGCTCGTGGTGGGTTGATTCTATAGTAAGACACTCTATGTTGATTTTTCCTTTAATGTGTCACCCATCTGTACAGTATTACATACACATGCCCTACATCCAAACACATACACACACATTGCCATTCAGATGGGAGGCTGAGCCCGGTCTCCAGAGACAAAGGGAAGCACCTGTCTTCCTTTCTCTTGTGTGTGTGTGTGTGCGCGCATCTGTGTTCAAACCTATAAATAGAGCCTGTGTCTTCCCTAGCTCTCGCTCCAGTGGGATCGTCTCATGTTTTAATTAAATAAACTGCTGCAATCAGGCCCAGCTGTGCCCTGCATTCCCAGCCTGCATCAGTCAGCATCCATGCTCAGGGGCAACATAGAGGCTGGGGTGTCAGTGCATGCGAGTACACAGAGACAGAGAAACCAACAGAGAGAGAGAGACAGAGAACTGGACTAAGCTGTGAAATTGGGGCATTCTGCACCGAAGCCACCTGGGTATCACAGGAAGCCCTGCTCAGGTGTTCTGGATGGGTTCCCCGACGTGTAAATCAGCAGAAGGAAAGGAGCTCGGCTCATCTCTTTCATCCTTCCCTCTCCATTTGCCCCTCTTTTCCATCTTTCGGTTTCTTCGTTTTACACTGAATTATTATGCTAATTCTTTGCAGTGTCACCTCCTATATGATCCCTTTCAGCAAGTCCGTTCACCCGCAAAGTGCAGCTGCCATAATACAATGATATATTTAACACGTGTGTCCAGTACTCCCCATTTGATAAGATGTACTGCATAGTCCAATGCTATAGGAGACCCTATGGCAGTGTTATATTGATGTATGGACATTAGCTCAGACTAAGGTCATGTGGAAGATGTCCCAGTGAGGCTGCAGTTTGTCAGATAACAATTAAGAGTAGCCAACAAAGGCAGTAACATCAACAAAGCACTCAATACTCAAAACATCCCAACAGACTACAGCATCTTGCATGTCTGACGCTTTTTTTATCTCTCAAACTTATCTGTACTTCTTAGTCTCTGTTCTCCACAGCACTGATGGGTCCAAGAGGAGATCAACACTAAAGATGATGAATTCTGCTGGGGATGGCTAAATTGACTGCTAATGTTGTACAGTGTTTTAAAATGTTTTTTGTTAACTGGCCACATTTGCAGAGCTGTTTATCTCGGTCTGACAAGATGTGACTCACTGGTGCATCTCTGACCACAGGATGTGAAACCTCAGCCTAATTTCCATGCATCAATATAACTACCAGGGAATCATACCACCTTGCGTGGTACTAAAAAATTGGAACAATTCCAATTAAGCACCATCCCCCAACTCCCACCAACAGGCACCCCAAGTGTAAAGGACTAAACTGTAGCTTTTAGTAACAGCAGCAGAAGCAGCCTAGCTCCTGGTTACCATCTATAATTAATGGACTGGTGCTGCTGGTCCTTGTTCTGTTTCTGAGCTAACCCCCAGTAAAACAGCCCTACAATGGTCAACACTCAGGAGGATGCATATGGCCAAGTGCAGCTCTCAGTCAGTTACCAGGCGCCATCAATACTTGAGCAGGTAAAAATAGTGAACAAGTGAATGAAGGATTCTTTTTATCCTGGTAGTTCAAAAATGAATTTGTTCCACAATTAGAGGAATCATGGCTCTCCGCTATTCAGGCTATTCCTGTCAGTAATGTGTCCTCCAATGAAAATAGATTACATTATAGATTCCGTTGTCCACAGAAGATAAAAAGCGTGAATGGATCAATACCCATTTTGATGAATAAGGGAGACCAGCTTTCTCTTTCATGTTTTAGAAAAACTACACTTGCCGTAAACACCATTTCACTCATCCAGTTACCCCCCACTCCAACTATGACAGGCTCTAATGTTTGGCAGTGAAAGGCCCTCACCTACTGATTGTAAATATGTTGGAAATTAAAATGTTTTTCACTTTCGTCTGTCACATATAACATTGGTTTGTCGATGCATTTGTGCTCAGATAAATGACTTATGCTTCTTGGTGTGGATTATTTTGAATTGGAGCAGATGTTTTAAGGAGGCCCAACATTTCCGAGCATGCCTATTCAGCAAGCACAACAGGATATCCAACCAACGGTGGCTTAAGCAGTAAGTAGGAAATGGCCGCAGTAGCCAACTTTTAATTGCGCCTTAGTTTCTTCGAACATTTGCTTATGATCTTACCTCTTCTGTTGCCCAAAATAGAAGACTATAGGCAACAATGTTAGTGCTGGCATGTTAGTGTATGGCATATTCATTAGTGTACTTAAATCCACTCAGTGGAAAGTTATAACAGATCCTGTTGGCACCCCAAGTTTAAAGGACTAAACTGTAGCTTTTAGTAACAGCAGCAGAAGCTGCCTAGTCAAGGGCAGAGCCCGGTTAAAGTCCTATGCATCGCAATAACCTCTGCCCATTTACCTGTAATAAAGTGACTGATGTTAGGGAATCCCAGGGGGTAATAATGTTTTAAACAGCAATCATGATTGGCCCAATAGGCTGATAGCATAAGTGGACCATGGCCTAAGCTAGAAGGCCTTCAAGGAGGGATGGGTGAGACCGCAGATACTAAAAAAGACTGAGACACACAAGTCCGCACACACATTCAGTGAGAGAGCCATACAAAAGGAGAAGGGAGGGGATGATGAGACACATTAATGAATTAATGATTGAAGGTTTTCAGGACATGTGATATTACACAGCTGCATGACTTGCTGACAGGTAATGGTGTAAGGAACGATTTGTTTGTCAGGGATCTCTATGCTCAGGTTGACTTCACAAAATGCAATTTAGGCCTATGAATCCATGACTCATAACCTGACCTTTACCCTCCCCCCCCAAAAAAAAAGTCAGACAGGGTGATAACTGTGAAATACACATGGGTTAACTTCGACCATTCTATGGACAAAATCAACGCCAAAATATATTAGCCTGTGGCCCCAGTTGTTACTATAAGCATTGTAATCATAGTTGTTAGGCCTGCTAACATCAGCTCGATTAAAGTAGCCATGATGCTTATCAGTAGCACTATTATTATCATCATCATAGGCAGGTACACGGATATTATAGGATTTAGCTCCAGCATCCAGCTGAGTCTCATCGATTGGGAGAGATCAAGGCTCAGCAGAGGCGCATGGCCCCCTTCCGCTTGTCTACTCCCAATACAGTACACTCCCAATCGCAAGCCGAGCTGTCACACATGATACAAAAAACCTCAATTCATCCTACAGTCCGAGTATTTAAAACAATAGCATCTGTTTCCTTTGACTTACCGATTCCGGGGGCGGAATAGATGAAATATAATGCGGAGGTGGACAGTGAAAAGAGGAATAAAAGCCCAAGGAATGACCTTCTCCGGAACCGCAAATGTGTCGGCATTATACAGGCAGCAGAAGCACACACACACACACAGGCACGTTTGTGTGTCTACAACGACGATAGACCAGTTCCGATGTGCCCAGATGCCAGATCCAGAAGTCCGCGAACAGATTGGGTTAAATGAGCCGAGGAGGGTGGCCGGGTCTGCAGTAGCGTTGAGGAACCAGGCGACTAGGAAGTCAGACTGTTTCCGCGGCAGGTCGAGCACAGAAGGGTTCCTCCAGTATTCAGTGAAGGAGACACCCAAATCCTGTTCCTGAGAGGATGATTTCGGTTTTTACTTGGTGAGAATGTCGAAACGGCTGACAATGATAGCGCAGTTTAAACGTAGCCTGATAGTTTCAGTGAGAGACCATAATTCGCCTCACACACTACGTCGTAGATGGTGTTTGGCCGCCCCTGCGCTTTGCCTGCCTGCCGACTAGCCCTGTGAATGGGGCAGCCCCTCCGCAAAATGAGCAATACCTAAAGTGGGCGTTAACTGTGCTCAACAAACAAGTACGTGCTCAAAACGTTCAATGACGTAACCTGGCGACCCAAAAATTCATAGCAACACAGCCACTTTAACAACCTTCGCGACACCGTCTGCATATGGAAAAAACATAATGATAAGCAGGGTTGGGGAGTAACGGATTACGTGTAACGGCGTTAGGTAATCAAGATACAAAAATAACGCAACTGTATTCCGTTACAGTACAGAAAATAAGGACGTAATCAGATTACAGGTACATTTTGTAAAAATGGGGATTACACATAGGGATTACTTTACGAACAAAGTTTCCGTTAAACGGAAAGCGGACTGCTATTTGCTATTTACGTGTTTCCTGTAAAAACACAGCAATGAGGTATCTGTCTATTGATCGGTGTGTAGCCAGTAGTTGAATGTGTTCACGCCCCCTCCCGTTATGCAGAGTCTGTGCGGATTGACGCCAGCTCAGCTCAGTGAGTGAACACACGGCAGCAGGTGTTATGCTGAGTTTTGCTTGCCTGCCGAGAATTGCATGCACCTCCAAATACTGCTTTTAAACGCTATAATATTCTTTGTGGGGTCGATCAATGGTGTTAAATGATTCGAAGTATATATTTTATGAACGTTTAGAGTCTTTAATATTTCAATACACTTAGCAGAAGTACCATTCCTTGACATTCAGTAAATATATGTGGAGATAACGCCGTTTGATCAGTGAGCACAGCAAAGTGTCTGAAAGGACCTAAAGAGGTGGATGCATAATTCGGCAGATCAAATGTTGTAGGCTACTTGCCGAGATTTGCATCCACCTCTTTTCTAAGCATAAATGACCGTTATCACCCGCGAGGTGCATGCAATTCTCGGCAGGCAGGCAGAATTCGGCACAACACCGGGCCCGCGCACAGACTCCGAGACCGACGGAGGCCAGTTTGAGCACTGGGAATACAGTACGAAAGTGTTTTTCTTGCGGGTTTGGCTCTTGTCACCCTGGGGCTGACTAAACTAAGGAGGCTGTGTTCGTTCCTGTTCATGTCGTGTTCATTGGGAGGCTGCTGAGCGCAGTTTCGTTGCCCGCTCGCCCGGCGACACTCCACGCAATCATTCCCCACCGGGTCCCCCCGCCCCGGCCGGAGAACCTCCAGTGCTTGAGTAAAGGTGTAAACCTAAACCCACACTCCGGTGTTCTGAGTTCCCAGTACGGTCAGAGTAAGCTAGGTTGACCAGTAGCTGCAGGCTAACTGAGCTATTAATTACATAACGGCAGCTAGTTCTCAGCAGTTAGCTGAATTTTTACAGCAACAAGTAAGTTAAATCCACCTGGAAACTACCGTCAGTCACAGAGTTGAGGTAGAGGAGCAGGGGAACAGCAGAGAGAAAACCAGAAAATATGTTCCATCAAATATGATCCAGTTTCAGCAAAATCAGTGAATAAAGTTGTGCTTTCTTACAGTAATCAGTGGTGCCCGGTAGAAACACTATTTTTCAGCAGCGTGATAAAAACAAAAAGCTTTTCATTGGACGTTTTCCAGGACACTCTCTAAAATATCACGAATAGGCTACCTACAAAACAACATTTTGGGCCAGATCCTGCCATATGACATAGGCCTAGTGCAAGGCATCATATAAAAACATTTGATTTCATGGGAATGGGATTTTTCTCTAAAAATACACTGAGCAGACAACGCATCTTTGATACTCTTCTGCTTTAAATTTGCGTATTTGGTATTGAAGTGATCCAAAAGTAACTAAAAGTAAGCAAGCTACATTACTTTTAAATCTATTTAGTTTAACAGGATCCGTTTTACTCATATATATATATATATATATATATATATATATATATATATATACATATGGTACTGTGTGTTTGTATATGTATATATAAATAGATACATATCTAAACTGAGAAGACTCCTAGGGATCCTGTAACAAATCATTATGAAGGTTATAGTCTAATGTTCCATTTTGTTGGAACTGTTTTATTCTTCTATTATTATTTATTTTTGTTTTATACTGAGGGGTATGAAAGCATGTTTCTGATATTTTGTCCAGGCCTACATTAGGGTAGACTGGTTCAGCCTCCAACATGATCATGAAGCTGAATCAATGATCATGATTCTGGGTAGGCCATCTCATGAATGCATGTCTTCACTGAAGACTCAAGGTCATTACAACACAGGGTTGCACAATTAAATGTAAGTTTGAGCCACAGACAGAGAACATACAAATACTGACATTTAGAATAGAATAAAATATATATATACAGATTTTTACATACATATACCTATACACCCACAAAAGAGTGTCTTTATGATAGACACACTTTTAGCTACACTTTCCCACAAATGTCTTTATTTTATATTAATTTTAGATATGTTTATATAGTGTTGAGTACACAAGAATTACTGTGAACCATAGAAATTTTATTTGTACCACTGACGTTAGAATTTTATCCACTGTGACAAATATTTGACAGTAATTTAGTTGCGTCAAGCTGTGTCCGTTTGTTCCTTACATAGACTGTATGGTTCCTTTGCTATTCTTTGCTATTTGGTAGGGAATTGTAGTCTTTATCTTGGACTACAATTCCCAAACCATAACCAGGAAGTGGAGTCGTGATGTCAACAGATATCTGTCGACATGGAACTTTCAGTCTTTTTTTACTACAAAACGTTGCTTTCGGGTTTAAATTTGCTGGTTTGAGAATGAGAGGCGTTAGCCATAAAGTGTTGTTGCTGTTCTTTTTGCTTTTATTCGTAAATTCGTGTGTGCCAGAGCGAGTTGAGAGGGAAATCTCGTCGGACCTGCGTGAGAGAGATGACGGCGGAGGGGATGCGCACCAAAAGGAAAATACTCCAGTTGAAAACAAGCAAACATTAATAACACACGAAAAACAGGGTCGACTCGATTCAAACGAGCCACAGAAGGATGGACAGTCTGTCAGGTTTGAGCCAACAAATATTGATTTCAGTACTGTCTTTGCAGTAACTTAGCCCATTGTTGTTAGCCAACTAGCTAGCGATAGCTTCATTCGGATCTTGATATTAGATGGGTTTCCAATGTGTTACTTTATTGTAGACGTTAACAACTTAAGTAGGAGATAGATTTTTGAATTCGTATTAAGATAAGTCTTATGTAACACATTTAGTCGTTTCTCAGCAGCATTAATGTTACATAATAGGAGACAGTCCAAAAGCAGTACTTAAAAATGGTACAAATTTAAACAATTTAGGTTAAAAAAAAAACTTGCCTTAATCACACCAAAATGTCCCTTCATTTGGATCTTTCTAGTTTAGTCAGGTGTTTATAGCCCTATGAATGGTGAGTTCAAATGAAGTTGTTGTGACATCCCAAAGTACAATAAATTCATCTAAATATTAATATGGAAAAGTTTAGGAGGGTTCTCTGCTCTCCAATTATATCTCTGTATTATTTAACAGAGCTTTAAAAAAAATATGATTTGAACAATTTGAATTCTGTAATTTGCAATTTATATGGAATCCAGAGCTATTTCATTGACTGATTGATGTTGTGGTTCACACCAACATGCCTTTTCTCCTGACTGTCTCCTTGCAGCAAGTCCAATGACACTGATAATTACAGTAATGAGACCCTCCTCTCTACAACGCCTACTGTCAAGCCAACGACCCCAACACCCCCAACCCTCAAGCCCATTCTTCCCGTGCAGACAGGGGTGAAGGCCCAAGAAGAAGAGCAGTCCAGTGGGCTGACCATATTCTTCAGCCTTTTGGTTATTGGTAAGTTGTCTCTCTGTTTCTACATTGCTGAACATCTATCTGACTCAAGTCTTATTTTCCGTTGCAGTTGGTCAGCATAAACTCCTCACCCACATTGTTTTCCAAGAGAAATCTAGTCTAGCATTCTTCTGAGCGTGCAGGACAGGAAGACAGAAGGAAATTAATCCACACTGGAAAATATGTTCATTATGGTTTACACAATATGCATAACTTAGACATACAGCTAATGATGGAGGGCAAATGTACAGCCACTTTAGTGTGTCTGTAAATCAGATTTTAGGGTGAAGGAAGTGGATAAAGGAAAGGATGCGGTTACACATGAATTTGCGTAAGGTCACAGAGTGCTTTTTCCCGACACAAAGTGCCCATTATGCACTTTTAGTTCACTTCAGGTTTAGTAACATGCTTACCACTGTAAGGGTTTGGACCAAGGAAACTGCATAAATCATGCATAAGGAAACCAATTAAACTCATTCACTTTGTAGACACAGAAAAATGTTATTTTCTCTTGAACCAAGTATTTCAATGTAACAAACGTTTGATTGGTTGCGAGAAGCAAAACACAGTCATTTGTCTTCTAAAGTTAACACCATTTCATCAGTGGTTTGCCTGAGATGGCATAGGTCAATAAATAAGAGGCCACCTCAGTACAATCTAGAAATTACACGAGTCATAAATAGCACTTACTGGAAACCATTATGTACCATTTCCCTCCACAAGTGTACATGCTTTTATTAGGCCTGAATTTAACATCTCCCTTATGAGAAAACAGCCCAGTTTGATGAACCAGTGTTGCAGAAACTTTCTTGTGATTATCTCATTTGTTGCACTGCATTTCCCCAGCATGTATGAATTGTTGTTTACATTATTGTGGCCTTGGGGTTTGTCATCTTAATTATGCGTACGCACTGACTTAGCACATTGATAGACGTGGTTTCCTATGGTTCTATCACAGGCTAATTGTATGTGTTAACTGGGAGCAATTATCTTTTATTGTACAATCCTAGGTCTATAAATGTACTATTTAAATGTCAAGCAACTGCTTTGTAGTCGTTTATATCAAGCAAGTGTATTTTAACTAATTTGTATAAAATTATTTTATAGTTAGGCTAATTTGATATGAATTCAAGTATCCGTTCAAACAGTCAGTGAGAGGAAATCAAGTAAGAGCTGGATTATACAGTTTTCATAGACATCCCTGTTCAGTATACAACAAGTTATGTAGAGGGAAGCTGTCAGAGAAAAGATCTTAACTTTTCATGATGTGAGACTTATTTTTGGGCTGATCTGAGTTGGTGTGACATCGTGGTCGGGACATGGATGTATTTGTCCTGAATATTCATTCAGTGGTCTTTGCTCTCCCTGCTCTCCACAGGTATCTGCATCATATTGGTGCACCTGCTTTTCAAGTTCAAGCTGCATTTTCTTCCAGAGAGTGTGGCTGTTGTGTCCCTTGGTGAGTACTGTGTATTTAAAATGTTGTTCTGCAAAGGCTGGGTTAGGCTTTATGATGTTTCTGTATTTAAGTAACTAATGTTTAGACTGATTTGGGACTTTGCCACAATACTCTACTTATACTTTTTAGGAAAGTTGTTTGTTGTGGAAAAAAAAAATAATTATTTCAAAGATACAGCTTTGGTTTTTGTGTGAGGTCACTTGATTCTACTTCCTCCAGTGCCTTCCATTGTTTCCCTTTTTACACATTTGTGCAGATACACTCACTCAAACTTGTGACACACATCTGTCTTGACCTTAAAGGCCTTTCCCTCTCATGCCCTGTGCATATTGAACATGAGACGTGGGCTTGTCTCACTGTTTGGAGCAGGGGACTCTGCTGAAGAGAGATAACACTCTGCTTACAAATCAGGAAGCGCGCCTTTTCCTTCCTCATCACTTCCTCTCTCTCACCTACTCATTATGTGTCTTCCCCTGCTCTATCCCTTTCTATCTGCCCATATATCTGGGTCTTAAACAATTCTTTGATGGTTGTACTTATGTCTTTTACGTTTCCTCTCTCTCTTTTTCTGCCCTTTATACGTCTTCGTATTTTCCTCGCCCTTTTAATTAATGTTCTGCTGGGCTGTGTAACAAGAGAGCTGAAAGCCCAGGGGGACTTTGTCAAAGACAAAATTAAGACAATAGTCCTTTTACACTCTTCGTATCTCATTTATCCCTGAACTATAGTGGACGTTTCCCAGGCATCCATTTGTTTTAACTACTAAAATATCACTCCTCGCTTCAGGTTTGCACTCCATCTGTATTCTGGTTGTATTGAAATTTTTATATGAAGTAGTAAAATATTTAAACAGTGGTGTTGTTTTTCATGTCTCCTTGCTCTTTCCAGGGATTCTAATGGGAGGCTTCATTAAGATCATTGAGTTCCAGGAACTGGCCAACTGGAAGGTATAGTTCGTCTCCTTGTTCACACCCTGCTCTACAGCTCCTTGTGTTAACACTGCATTCACAATTAATGTTGCTCCACCACCCCCACTCACTACACACACACACAAAATACACAAACATATGACATGCAATGTGGGAACATGTTTGAACAAGTTTTGTTCTATGTAGATATTGCATCACATTCAGTGTAACCCCTTGAAATATGAGACAGATTTGCTTTAAGTCCATAAACAAAAGGGATGCACCCACTGCATTCTTGATATTAACTGTCATTTAGAGGGCAGGGACAAAAATCAGCATCAAAGATGTTTGTTTATTGAAAACATAATACGTCAAAGCTTAGAGAATATAACCAGCTTTCCTAGTTCTTGTATGATGCATTTTCTGCCTTAGCAAATTCTCCAGGGACATCCCTCCCACCCATCCCAACTCAAACATTTATTGTCCCAGTGTTGTAGTTTTTCATCTCTCTTTCTGTGGCTGTCTTTCATTTCCTGGCCCCTGTTTTTGTCACAAATCTAATCTCTCTATCTCCGCTCTGTTACCTATAGAGACACACACCATTGTTTGCCGGCTATCTTTCCCCTCTGTGTCCCTGTGAGCCCTCCTTTTTTTCTCCTGGTTCTCACAGCCTTTAATTAACATTCCTTGTTCTCTGCCAGTGAGTGGGAGAACGAATGAACAAGAGAGGTAGATGGAGAGCGCAAGAGAAGGAGAGAGAGAGAAACAGATGCAGAGTGAGGGGGAGGGAGGAAAAGAGGACAGGTTGTGTCAATGTTTCTTGCACACTGGGGCCCATTGTTTTTTAGCCTGGGGGCCCCACGATGTTGCTGAGTCATCAGCACTAGTAACCAGAGCCCCTGGAGCCCCTTTCCCCCATTTACCCATGTATTGGGAATCTCTAAACCGCTATCTCTGTGTTTGTGTTTAGCTTATAGCAAGCAGGCCTGCTCACCTGTCCATATATGGTAGGCAGTGGCTTCATGACCTGTTGTGAAAATACAGGTTGATAAAAACAAACTGTCTGAGTAGAAGTTAATGAAGTTGCATTGTGATTTGCAGCAGCTTCTTTGCAGAAGCGTGGATATGCTAAGTGGTTAACAGTCAGCTGAAGATTTCAAGAGATCCAGGGAATGTTGCAAATCCATTATGTCTGACCTATTTGTTTTTGAGAGAGCCCCTAAGAGCAGGATGCACCATGTAACCTGTTGTGAGTAAAACAGCCAGTGGCAAAACTGTGATTCCGTCAGTGTCATTCTGTGTCAACAAGTCTTTTGAAATTGTGCATACAGTGCTTACAGGTTTGTGCTTTACCACCACAGCCAATGGAAGGTCTCTCTCTCTCTCTCTCTCTCTCTTTCTTTCTTTCTTTCTTTCTTTCTTTTCAAGTGCTAGCTCCTCATGCTTGTAGTGTAGCTACCTTTTTAAGGTTGCACCACCTCCAGCTAGCATGTTTCTAGCTAAGCTGACCCACTTTGCTGATCAAGAACGCTTCGGGGACTGCCCCACAAACCACCAAGGGTGTACACACAAACCCCTCAGGCAGCAGCATTGTGTCATCACTGGCGTTGCCCTCGATTTTCACCACCAATCTGCTTTCTTAGCTTTCTGCTACCAACCCCTCTATCTCCAGTCCTCTTCCAGCATGTGAAGAGGAGCTTTTTTTCCTAACGTGCCTTTCTGGTACTGTTAACTGCTTTTCCTTTTCTCTCATCTGCCCATTTCTCCCCTGTGCTGTGACACAGATTGAAGAAGAAATAACATGCTGGCAAGAAGTAATACGCTAGCAGCAATTTGTCTCTTAGGCAAAGCAGAGAAAGATACATAGGTGAATATATTTGCATCCACAGTGTACTCCAGATAATAATTTAGTTTTTCCCATGTTTTCGATTTCTATTCTTTACTGTATTATCTGGGCTCATCGTTTTTCTTCAGTGGTTGCAGTGGTGTGTTTTAAACCCCAAAGGGCAGCACATACTTTTAATAAATCTCTCCCACACCACGGACACAGAAAGCATTACAGGGAGAGCTATTTTAATTGTGGTTTCAGGGGCCTTTTTCCCCATGTGGTGATGTCACTGTGTGTCAAAGCTGAGCCTCCAGGGAGCCTGTACTCCGAACGAAGGTCTCTCTATCACGCCTGCTCATATTTTTCTGTTATCTCTTTTAACTGTGCTCCCTTCATCTTTGGCATTCATCCTTTCTCAGTTAGTTCAAGCCCTGTCTCAGCACTTCACTTGAGTATGCCCATCCTATGTATCCATTTCATCTCCCCTTCTCTTAGAACATGTATTTCTCTGCTCTCTATCAAAAATCAGTGTTTCTAAAATCTCATTGCACCCTCTCAGGCCACATCTTTCCTCACGGTTTCAGGATGAGGTCAATCTAGGGCATTCTGACCTAAAATCTAATCAGCCAAAAGCATAGACTGTATATTTATAAAAATCAACATTTTTGATAATAGTTATTAATCAAGCAAAAATGCCAACCATTGGCTGGTTTCAACTTTTCAGATGTGATTATTTGCTGCTTTTCTTTGTTTTCTTTCATCATAAAGTAAATATCTTTTTGGCTGTGGAGTGTGGCACAACCTCCAATTTAAGACGTCACCTTGGGCTCTGGGGAATTGTGATGGAGATTTTTTCAGTGAATCGAGTGTTTGACAGATTATAGATGATAATTGTAACCCTTAAATGAAACCCAACTAAAATTAATCGCCTATCACAAATAATACAAATAATGCAAAGCACTAGCCTGCTGACACCTTCTTATTTAAATATGTGTAGACATGTGTAAGCAAAGTCAGTGTTTGCTAGTTCAGCCACTCCAGTAGCTTGTGTGCATGCATGCAGAAGTACAGCTGTGGTTGTCAGATTGTAGTGCATGCATGGCATACCGTCTTCTGTCTCAGGTGTTTACATTCATTCCTGACCTTTAACCTGCCATGAAGGGTAGAATTCTGCCAGCGATTAAATCTCAAGAAAAAGTGGTAACCTGGAAGCATTCCTTGTTGGCCTACTTTCCCTGAAATTTGAATGCATAATAAGACACAGTAGGCAGGAGAAAAGCATTTTACTTCAGCATACATCCTGCATAGGCTATCCTCTATGCCTGACCTATTTTTAAGAGTTCGTAGCCAGAGTAGTGTAGGTTGCTGTAGGTCTTTAATTTTATCGATGTGTTCATCTCCTTTGCAAATCGCATCATGCTGCTTTAGGTCTTAGTTCTGAAGAATTGGTTTGATGGGGAGAAATAGATTATAAATTCAGAAGATTATGAAGCTAGTCATGTCATCATGTTTTGATACATTGCCAGAACAGTTAATTCAATTTGACACAGAATGTATAATAATAGATAATTGAGTAAGAAGTGTTTCCTCTAGGTTTTTTTTTCTTCCCAGCAGCGGCGGGAAACGGTTTCGTTTTAATTGGGTGGTTATGCTCTTATTTGTTAATGCTAAGTACTAATTTGCCAATAATCATAACCATTCACGCATAACAATGAGTTCAATGCTTTGAAAGTCAACCGTTTTTTAAAATGTCCAGCATCCGTCTAGGCTGTGATTGGTCTCTGCCTGAGGAGGAAATGCTGAACTCACTCTGTTATTTACTTGGTTGTCATGACTTCGAGTGTATTTTGTAGCAATAAAATGTATTTTACAAAAAGCACTAATTGTAGATTAAAACTGTCAGATGAACGTAATCTCATATCTAGCTTAACCCCCCAGCACTTGTTCATTGTTAATCTACAGCAAATCAGATCTCTTCAGTTTTCACAGAAATGGATTCTAGGAAACCCACATGAAATGTGGTAGTGATTGTCTTCATGTGGGGTTGAGGGTCAGGCTCTATCAGCTGTCAAAACCTCATCTTACAATGAGAAAATTTGTAGACTGAATGCAGTAAATATGGGCCTGCCCTCTTCCGTCTTCTGACAGACACTGCTGTAGTGTTAACCATGATCCAGAATTAGATCAGATGAACATTTCTCTTATGCATGCTGTATCTTGACATTTACATTACTAACACAGATTCTGCACAGAACAAACTCGCACACACACACACATACAGTGGCTAATGCATGGTGCATCGTGCACAGACGCATTGGCATCCAGAGCATAATGCATGGGCACATGATGCCTATGCCTGATCTGGGTGGCTGGCCCATTTAGCTGAGAAGCAACAATGATTTCATTATATTGCTGAAATAATCAGAGAGCTAAGGTCACTGGGATACTCTGTGTGTGTGTGTGTGTGTGTGTGTGTGTGTGTGTGTGTGTGTGAGAGAGAGAGAATGAGAGACTATGAGAATGAGAGATTAAAAAAAGCAGGTAGTCATGTGTCTTTTTACAGCTTATATGCAAGAAAAGAGCATGTCAGTAGTAGTGTCTGAGTGCATAAATTGGCTGGCAGGCATTAGCCTCGACCAGCACCCGATGTGTTTGTGTTTGTCATCCTGAAGTCAACATCCAAATTTGTTTTGTCAGATAAAGGACTGTTGGTAACAGCTCAGGCATGGCCTCCTTCGTCACCCTTTTCCCTCTTCCCCGCTTAGTATTAAGTCAGCTGATCAGCACTGAACCAACCTTCAGTGGTCAGATGAATAGCGGGGAATATTTGTAGAGGATTACATAACAGCCACAAGCACATGTTTTATCATTCAGTGACACACACATAATTTGCTCATATGTTACGGTACTGATAAGCATTAGGATTTGTGTTTGGATCACAGATCATTGTAGGCTCATTCAAGATGACAAAACGTGACAGAGTGTGTACTAACGAAGTCCACGTTCACATTTTCTTAGAAAAATGTAATTTGTTCAATTAAAAATGTTTAATGTTCACTGTACTTTGTAATGGATTTAATTTGAAAGGATTGATGAATGCTTATGCTACCCCAAGCTCCCAGCTAGTTGAACATGGCATTTTCCCTTACCGCTACAATTTGTTACTATTAGCCAATGCGCAACTCCAAGCCAAGGTTACAATCATGTGTCTGTTATATTGCCAGTGCTGCTTTTTTACTGTGGCTTGTATGTAACCTTATCTCTGTCCTTCTCTCAAAGGAGGAAGAAATGTTCCGACCAAACATGTTCTTCCTTTTGCTTCTGCCGCCCATCATCTTCGAATCTGGATACTCATTACATAAGGTACAGCATGGTTAATTTACACAGTTCAAGACCTTCAGTTGAAAAATAAGGCACATTATGAATGTGATGTACTTTAAAGTAACAATGCAAACCAGTATATGTGTTCAATCAGTCCGTTGCCTAAATTGAACAGGATCCATATGTGCAGAGCAAGAATTGTAGCCACAGCTACTTTTATTTACTTAAAAATAAATAAACAGGGACCTAACCAGGCTCTAAGTTTGCTTATGCCTTAGGCAGGCAGTGGCATGAAAGCATAACAGCATAAGCACCTCTGCTCTCTGTCAGTCATGTTTTTCCTGTATTGTTTTTTTTTGTTGTTGTTGTGTTTGTATTCTAGCCTGTGTTAACATTTGTCATATTTTATCACTAAGGTTTAAAATGAATTGGCAAATGCAAAAAGATATCTCATTACATTTTATTAGTCATTTTGAAGGATCTTAATGGCCTTCCCTTTCTTCTGAAACAATTTGCTTTTATCTCAAACAGGGTTAAAAAGGCTTGTTTGTATACATTTTGCTCTATTCCTACTCACAGTGAAATTATGACAGTTTTCTCTATTCCTGTACTGTGCTCTACTTTTCATTTTAATGCTGGCAACATGTTATGTAACACTATGTAACTTCAAATGTCATGCTGCTAAACCCATGAATACTTAAGCTGCGTGTCCATGTATGTTCAGGGTAACTTCTTCCAGAACATTGGCTCCATTACTCTCTTTGCTGTGTTCGGCACAGCCATCTCTGCATTCATAGTCGGAGGAGGCATCTATTTCCTTGGGCAGGTGAGGATTGTAGTAGTTATCTATCAGCGACTCTGGCATCGTCAGGGCCTGTTCAGAGAAAGAGTGTGAACTGAAATATTTTGACTTTCCTGGAACAGCTTGTTAATACAAAGGTTAGGTATCGAGAGCTAAAACTTCCAAGAACTGTGGACTGTAGACACGTGCATTTCAATTCTGCTTATCGATTCCTAACTTTTTGCATATGTCGGGCACGCCACCGATTTAAACTGCAGTGAGCATTTTACAGTCCATAATAATTGCACTTCTCTGCCAGGTCCTGCTACGTGGAGCTAACATCATTTGTTAGGCAGTAAGTTAACAAAGCATGCGAGAAAAGGCTTCTATTTACATTCCTGGATCATAGCGGACCACAGCAGATGCTCAAAACATAATCACACAGCAAAATGCAACACCTGCGATAAGGATATTGCAAGGAAGGAAGAATGAATCTGAAGGAATGCAGCGTGTTCAATGTGTTGCGTTCTCCCAGCTACAGTGACACCCCAGATACAGCTAACGCTAAGAGTAGCGACGTCTTACGCTCAGTCAACACAGACGAGCTGACATTCACCCTTTATATCGAAGGTAAACGACTGATGTCTACAAATTATTCCAGTATATATTTATCTTAAATACGAGTCCCCAGAGACAGTACTCTAGTACAGCCACTCCTTACACTTTAGCCATGTAGGTGAAGATGAGCAAAGAGAAAGTGGATGATTGTGGTGAAGGGGTTGCAATCAGAACTGAGATTTGATAAGATCCAGATTTAATAAGAAGAATTGGAATCACAATTGATAAAATTTAAACAATGCCCAACCCAACCTTAGTGTCTAGTAGGCATTGCTGTCTTTTCCTTCTTCAAAATCTTTCTCTCCTATGGATGTAGGGCTCTATGAAATTCATTTACATTTCTTTTCAGATTCTGTAATTTTCTTTTCATTTCAGGAGAAAATATGAATCAAATAATTGAATCAATATTATTGAATGTAGATGTTGATGTTATCAGATCTCTTAACAATGTGCCTGTGTCATGGAATGTTTTTTGTTGTTTTATTTGTTTGTTTTTTTCAGGCCGATGTGATCTATAAGATGACCATGACCGATAGGTGAGTATTAGTATTCCACTCTAACTAGCTTTTATACTGTATGTTTCTTGCATTCATCAGACTAACAAGGGAATACAAAAAAATGTGGAATTGATTAGAATTGGATATTATTATTTCATACTAGCGACACCTTCAGTCTACCTTAAAGTTTGAATGAACCAAACCTGGGAAACAAAAAAAAAAAAAAAACAACTTTCAGTAAGTCGCAGACAGCAGGATAAGCTATCTGCCAGAGATGACGGACAGAAAAGCAGTATGCTACACCACACCCATGTTTTTATTTTTATGCCTCCTCACTGGCGACAGCCCTGGCCGGAGGTAGTATGTTTTCAGGTTGCCTGGCCATCCCTTTCTTATGAATATGATATCTCAGGAAGCCCTTGAGGGAATTTATTGAAATTTGGCACCAACATCCACATATACTTAAGAAATTAACTCATTACAATTGGGTTGTCTAAGGTCAAGTACACTGTGACCTCACAAAACACATTCCATAACTGGCCAATTGATTACCATATTTCACAGTTGGTCAGAGAGCAATTGGTGACACTTTTGACTCAAATGTCAATGTCACTGATATCACAAAACACGTTTTGTGTGTCTTAGTATGAGCTTGTGTCAAGTGTGTTCAAGCAGGGCTTTTGCCTTTTTAATTTACTTCACCAAGGAGAGTATGTTTTCAATCCGATTTGTCTTTCAGTTTGTGTAAGTGAGAGCAGGAGGAGCTTAACAGATTTTAATGATATTCGTGGGGAAGCACTGATTAGATTATGGAAGGAAAGTCCCATGTACTGTCTATCCACCCATTTCCGCCCAGATAGATTTTGCACCAATTTTTAATTTATTTACTTTTTGTGCAAAATATTTTTTGCCACTCCTCCCCCTAGAGTAATTTAATAATCCAAACTCTACCAAATTTTCCGCATGACTTATAGTATATAGATGACCCTGGAAAACATGTTAATTCATTTAGTTGTAGTTTAATTAGTTGCACAAGTAACAAGACACAAATGCATTGAAGGAGTAAAAAGGAGTGTGCCTTACAAAGACATCTCAACAACAAAAAACAATACATATCAAATTAAAGTTCATCAAAACATCTATTTTTATTTATGACTCTTCATACTGCTTTCCCAGAATTATTTACCAAGTTGTTGTAGGTGTAACGCATTGTGTAATTTTGTGTCCAATCTAGAAGTTTCCTTGTACAAATCCCTGACATTCTGGGACAGGATTTATGTATTATCCAAAATCATGGCAATTATTAAAGTAGCAATGTATAAGACAGGAATGCATGTGCATTTCCTGTCTGCATCATTCTTTTACAGTACATACACAATTTTGTTGTGTTTGTTTCTTTTAAGGATGTTTCTGCTTGTAAAAGTGTGGTTACTGCTTAACCGTTATCCACCACTCATCTTCTCTCCCTTTGCTTTAGCTTTGCCTTTGGCTCACTCATCTCAGCTGTGGACCCTGTAGCGACCATCGCCATCTTTAACGCCCTCAACGTGGACCCTGTCCTCAACATGCTGGTGTTTGGTGAGAGCATCCTCAACGACGCTGTCTCCATTGTCCTCACTAAGTAAGAGTTTCTAGCCAGTCCCTCATGACTTACTTATACTCACACATTGGCACATTTACATTTGCCCATGCGTTTACACCACCAGCAACCCTATGGACATTGTGCAAAAAGTCAAAACTTCCATTTAACAACACTTAACCGTACTTGTAGTCAATAGAAAGTAGCATGATGAAGACACATGGCCAGGATTTTTAAGCCCCGAACACAAAACATGTAAGGTCCCTATTGAAACTGAAGTAAACTCAGTTTTGGGGGCCATTTTGGATTTAATGGGGGTTTTTTTTTTGGCGATTTACACACTTTGTACTTTAGCGAACTCCTCCTAGGGATTTAGTTCGATCAACTTCAAATTTTCGCTGTGCACTCTAAACCCATTGACGATTAAAAGTTATTCACAAGTCGACCAGTTTGCTCAAAAATTGGTGATTTGCTATGAAACAGGAAGTTGTTATAACTTCAGTACACGTAATCACATCTGCACCAAATTATAGTATAACAGTAGTGCTGCTCTGAACACATCCCTATGCTAATATCCACTGGAAGTCATAGCGCCACCTGCTGGCAACAGGAAATTACACATTTTACGCTGTAATGTACTACTCCTAGCAGGTTGGACGTATCAACTTCAAAACTGTCCCAGAAAACCCTTAACACATTGATGAGGCCATGATGTAAAAGTTGTGAGTTTTTGGTTAACGGCGTGGCGTGGCGGCGAAGTCCCACGCTTCGCCATGACACAGGAAGTTGTTGTAACTTGTAACTAATAAGAGTCCCGCCCTGAACACATGTACATGCCGACATTCACCAACAGTCATAGCGCCCCCTGCTGGACACAGGATATGACCTTTAACGAAGCAGCCCCCGTGGCATGTTTCACCTACATGTATGAAATTTCTGGAGCACATGTATCATATCCAGATGTACATAAAAGTGTGATGTCCAATGCTGGGACCTGTGTGTATGTATATGTGATCTGATGAATGTGGATGACATTCGTGACATTCAAAGATGAAGATGGTTATGGAATGTTTTTGTGGTACGTGTCCAGAAATGAGTAATGAGGACAAACGACTCCCTTTGACACCCATATGTTTAAGTCTCTCAAAACTTGCTGTGGACATAGGAGTGTCACTCTCGTTTGTCAGCAGACTGGTGACGAAACACACCAACACGTTCTTGACGAACAAGTTTGACAGAAATAGTTGGCAGGGTTCCCTTGTTTTTATTCAGCACTATCTTCCTATCTGTTGTCTCTGTACTCACTTTATTGCTGCCTTATCTCTCCTACTCACAACCAGCTAAATGTGCAAAGTGATCTCCAGTGTCTGCATGCCCCCATAGAGCAAATGAGTGCATGAATAATAGATAGACTGAACAGCCCTGGCAGTTTGCTTGTTGTTAGCACTTCACAGACTTTCCTAGAAAGCTGCTTTACAGTTTGGCCCAGTCATTTATAAAAGTCCCGCAGGTAATGCCTTTGCAAACATATCACAGATGTTTAGTTTCTTTTTTTAGATGTGTTTAAAAGCCGTGTTACTCTCTTTAAAATCTAATAAAATGTGCATTTGGCATTCAAAAAACAAATGATTTATCAATCAGATAGTATTCAATTAAATTCTGTGTGTGGCAAAATTTCACAATAAATTAAAGCTGCAAGCAGCGTTGGGGGGGCCCTCGCACTCGTAGCGTGACTCGGCCGAGTTGCATATTCTGCAGCTCTGCCGGTGCGGCTGTGAATTTGTTACGCGGTTATGTCGCCGCATGAAGGTGTTATATGTCACTTCCTGTGTCCCCTATGTGGAGCTACATAGCACTTGCCGCTATGAATATAAATCGGTATTGGTGTGTAGATGTCTGCGGGGTGGGAGAGAATGTGAGAACAGCGCACATTTCATCGTTACTGTGTGTTAGAGCATGGGAGAACAGTGGATACTTTTAATACAGCCCACACCCCTAATACTGTGTAACTATAACAAGTGGAGAACAGAAGAAAAAGATGTTCTTTCTTTACAACTGTCTGCATAGGTTATTCATATTGTGTAATGAGTGAAAATAAATAGGCCTACTAGGCTCCTCTCTACTTTGACATTTAAGATTAGCTTGTTTGATCCACCTTCATACACATGTGACATTACTGTACAACTTGAGAAAGGTGAGTTGTTTTCTGCTCCAGCCTGCCTAAAAGAAAAGCGTTTTTGGGATTAAATGACCTTTATTAGCTGCTGCAGTGCAGGATGAACTCAGAATAGACCCATTTCTCACCTTATTATTCTAAATCATGCAACGAAGAAGAAGAAATGCATAATAAAATCCTGGGACAAAATCTGTCCACAAATACTGTACAGCATGTAGTCTGATGAACAAGACTTGGGCAGTGAAATGTTTAATTTTTTTAATTCATGTGGTAATAGTTGTCCACAACTCAAATCAGAATATAAGAAGAAATGTTTTATACCACCTCAAGAAGGCTTCCTATCAGAAAGGTAGGAAGGTATTTCAAATGTACAACTGCAGTCCTGAAATCTAAGTAAAGTAATTTCCCTGACATTTTTGTGTTACTTTACTTTTAATAGACGCATGTAACAGGTTTTATACTTCCTGTGAGTATAATCCAATCAATCTTATTTTCATACTGTATATCCGTTGTGTAATTTGATAAATTGTGTTGTATGTCGTGCTCGCATCTCAGAGAAGACTCTGACTGCAACATGCGTCTTTGTAAAGAGAGAAACGGACAGAAAAAGTCTCTAACTCTGCCTGTCAGCTCGCTCTGCTCCGTTAAAACTGAATTTACCATACAGAATTGAATACGAGTGCACTCCAGATTTAGCGGCAGCCAGCTGACCGTGTGCTTCTCTCTATACCGCAGTTCTGTGTCCATGCATGCAGCAAACTGAAAGCACTGTCTGTCGGAGCGTCTACATGAAAAGAGAAGGAATACATTGCTGGTAGTATTGTCTTCAGAGTTGTTAAACACCTCAGTGCACTGAAGGAAGCCATCTGACTGTGTGAGGGGCAAGATCGTTGATGTCTGCAGGCAGAGTAGGAGCTCTCCTGTCTGACTGGTCCACCAATAGCAGAGAAGATGACCCCTTGAGTTATCAAGCACGTAAAGTTTGGTTCAGATGTGAGCATGTACACGTAAGTTACAACAACTTCCTGTGTCATGGCGAAGACTTGATCTCTGACGCCACGCCACGGACACACCCATTGACGAAAACTCGCAAATAGCACAACTTTTCATCTTCAATGCCTTTAGAAGGTACAGCACAAATTTGAAGTCGGTCGGACTAAATCCCTAGGAGGAGTTCGTTAAAGTACGAAGTGTGTAAATCATCCAAAATGTGACGTAAAATTCAAAATGGCCGACTTCCTGTTGGTTTTAGGGCATCGCTCCAAGAGACTTTTTTGTGCGTCTGGACAAGATACACGTAGCACAGAAAATTCGTGCACGTAGGTGAACGTGCGGCGGGGGCTGCTTCGTTAAAAGTCACTTCCTGTTGCCAGCAGGTGGCGCTATGACTGTGGGTGAATGTCAGCATGTACATGTGTTCAGGGCGGGACTCTCATCCTACATGTACAGTTTGGTCCAGATGTGAGCATGTACACTGAAGTTACAACAACTTCCTGTGTCATGGCGAAGAGTTGATCTTTGACGCCACGCCACGGACACGCCCATTGACGGAAATTCGCAGATAGCACAACTTTTCATCTTCAATGCCTTTAGAAGGTACAGCACAAATTTGAAGTCGGTCGGACTAAATCCCTAGGAGGAGTTCGTTAAAGTACGAAGTGTGTAAATCATCCAAAATGTGACGTAAAATTCAAAATGGCCGACTTCCTGTTGGTTTTAGGGCATCGCTCCAAGAGACTTTTTTGTGCGTCTGGACAAGATACACGTAGCACAGAAAATTCGTGCACGTAGGTGAAACGTGCGGCGGGGGCTGCTTTGTTAAAAGTCACTTCCTGTTGCCAGCAGGTGGCGCTATGACTGTGGGTGAATGTCAGCATGTACATGTGTTCAGGGCGGGACTCTCATCCTACATGTACAGTTTGGTCCAGATGTGAGCATGTACACTGAAGTTACAACAACTTCCTGTGTCATGGCGAAGAGTTGATCTTTGACGCCACGCCACGGACACGCCCATTGACGGAAATTCGCAGATAGCACAACTTTTCATCTACAATGCCTTTAGAAGGCACAGCTATGTAGTTGACGTATTGGGACGTATGACGTATTGACGTAGTGTGTGTGTGTGCGTTGGGTGCGAAAATTAAACATGGCAGCGCGCCGCTGCTAGAAAAAGATTAACTTATCCGTAACATCCTAATTCAAAAACCTGGATTTCAATTCGGACCTGGACCAACTGGAGGATTACATTGACCATCACTTCAACAGACTTTGTACAATGGGCCGATCACGCAAAGCCAAAAAACCACGCACTTCGGATTCTCCCTTATCAACCGATTCACCGTTATCACCAACATCACCAGCATCCACTCCTACCGAAACAAACTGCTGTTCCGACATACTTTTATCAATCAACGAGCGCTTATCTAACCTGGATTCTAGACTCTCACTAATCGAAGTACTGCACAAAGAATTTCAAAACATCCGCCATAGCCTGGAATACAGTCAACAACAAGTCGATTCGCTCACAGAAGAAAACAAATCACTGAAAAGCTCCGTGGACACACTCACTGCAAAACTTTCCACTGTAAACACTCAACTTACCTCCGTCATCGCTGAGAACAAAGCCATGCAAGAAACTATCCTGGATATACAGTCACGAAGTATGAGAGACAATCTAATCTTCTCCGGCATTCCCGAATCATCCACCGAAGACCCCGAAAAATCTGTTAAGGACTTCATGGTTAACCAGCTCAAACTTACACCAGAGACTGTAGAGCACATCACTTTCCATCGCGTTCACCGTTTAGGACAGAAACCCATCAACTCCACCCGTTCCCGGCCCATCATCGCCAAATTTGAACATTTC